ACACACACACAAACACACACACACACACACACAAACACACACACACACACACACACACATAAAGTTATATCTGCTCAGTACGTCGTTTTAAGAAATTTGACGTTAAAAATTGAGTTTCACATCCTGTCAAGCCTTTTTAAATGCAATTCAAACACTATGAAAATCTTGATAACGACTTCGAATAATCTGACAATTTTGATAGGGCAGACCGAGCATTTATTTGTGATCGCATGGTCCATGGTCTCACAAACTCAAACCGGCCCAAAAATACAAGATAGAACTGTGCCCTTCTTAGGTAGCGAATTGTACCCACTTCCTGAAGCTTTTCTTGTTTAGATCTATATTTCTTAACATGTAGAATTAGAATTTTGACAAAATATTTCTTGAATACATGCCGCTGATACCACAAATTTAAAAAACTACAATGTTTAAAAAAATGTAAATGTTCACATGTACAGAACCCACATTTTAATTTTGAATTTTCACAAAATATTTCTTGAGAACATGTCGCTGTTATTACAGATTAAGAAACTGTATTTTTAAAAAAATATTTTTTTTAACGTTCTTCTTTGTAACAGGTGGACATCTGGTGGAGGCTCTCTGGTTCGGCAACGGGAAATCCTCCCACTGCTCTGTTACTGAGACATGGCGAAAAGATGCGCTCGTCAAAATGTTGGCTGTATAAAGAGTTATTGACGCCTTGCTTTTGGTGGGAAATAAACCGCCCATCTATCTTGAATAGAAGTTGAATAATTTGCGATTGAAGGAGTGGGGGTGGTGGGGAGGGGGGGTAGGAGTCAGAGGTAAAATTAGCCAGAAAATAGCGACCAAGGTTCGGAGACTTACAGAGCTTGAGGGTCCTTGGAAACCGCAGATTTAGGATTTTTTGTGCGTGCTTTGGATCAAAGTTTTCAGTCAATCCACCCAGGAATGTATTTTAGAGATACATACCAAAAAAAAAAGGTGTTGAACACAAAATAACAAGAACAACAGGATAACGACAATAATTAAAAATAGTATAATTACCCAACGGGCGAGAAAATGTCGGTTTGGTAGATTTCATTATTGTAACGAGCGCCTGATTTCACCACAACGCCGCACATTCCGTTCGGCGCGTCCACCAGGCAGAACTATGACGAGCAATGATGACGATGGCATCCGCCGCAAACATTGGGGTCTAGCGCTCCGTCCTCGGGAAAAAAAACGTGTGGAATTTTGTTTTTATTCAATTTTCCAAGAAGTTGTGCGAAGAGTTTGGAAAAAATAATATTATGTTTGAAATAAATACCGAAAACTGTCAATATAGCGACTGGGTTCATCAAATGGGTTGAATAAAAATAAATATTTACTTTGTGAAAGAGGTGCACCTTGGGTAAGCTTGATGTTCTTTGGCTTCTTTTTGACCTGATTTGTGGGGGTCAGTAGGGGAGGGGGAGAGAGAGAGAGAGA